AAAAAAAAAAAAAACAGTGTTAAACCACCACTACCTTTAGGCTGGTGTCCCAATGGGAAAATGACCTCATCCTAAAATTCCGGAGGCCGGGCCCAACGCGCAGCTGCCGTTGATAAGTTGGATCAGCAGCCGTTTTCGCATTAACGGCCTCGGAAAATTGTGGGCCCTCGCCCGCGGCCGACGTATGTGAAAGGTAGTGGTGCTCTAAGGAAGTTCTGTTTTCTTATCATTTCTGTTTTCATTCCGAAATCGAAGAGGGGTGAACAATCAAAATTCGGCAAAATACAGAAGTCTTCACCCCTCTTCCTTAAAAGAGGGGTATTTTGCCCAATTTTATAGAAGAGGGAGGGGGGCCAACAAGCTACCACTAGAGGGCTGCTCAATGCCAGTTGTGGGGGCCAACGGGCTTTCACTAGATGGCAGGCACCAAATATGCCCAGGTTTCTTTTTTTTCCAATGGAAGGTCCCTGACTCTCATTTGTCATTTTTGTGTCGCCCCGTCGTAGATATCTACAACAACACTGATGCGGTGGGGGTCGTGGGACGCAGCCCCCGGGCAAGGTATCCGACAGCCCCAGCACAAAATTTAAAAAATTAGGAGTTCACTCAAGACGATCACCTCGAAAAAATAGAAAATAAAAACAAATTAAATATTAAACACCCCTTTTAGACTCCTCTAAACCTTGTTTATAGTAAGTATTGGTAACTTTGTACCCTACATAGTGCATACCTCCTAAGATGAGACACATCCAATTCAACAATAAGGACGGCTTTGAGCACATCTGTGGCAGCAGAAATCCTTCCCACAACTTTTAAAAAATAATAACAGATCTTTTTTTGCCTTGTCTGGTTGATCTGGGCATTAACTGATTTTAGATACGACTTCGCTCACGAATCATAATTGTGTGGATTACCGTCCCACCCACCACCCACGCTGCCCGCCATCTTTTCTTTCTTCGACCCTGAATCGGACTGAATTTGCATGAAGCACAACTTCAAAATGAACAGTGCTACTTGACCATAATGGCTGGCGTCGTGAGCCAAAATGAACAAAAATTGAAAAATAGTGCCCTCACTGGTTTCGTATTTTACTATTTTTTGCGATGCACCACGATTTTGGATCGGTAAAACCAGCCCCAGAAGTAGTGGTGGTTTTAAGCTCAGATCAGATCAGGGTGTTGCCACTGGATCTCATTCCATGCCGACATTTGGGTACGATCTGGAACAGGCAAGTTGAGCTGTCCCACCCATATCGTACCCATATGTTGAGGAGGGAAAAAAGTTCAAAAACACAGTCAACCAGATGTTTAAAGGGAAAGAAGGGAGTTTCGTTTTCGGTTACGCAGGCTCAACGCGCGCAAGCGGGAACCCATTGCAGCACCAGAAGTGTGATGCCATCATGCTAAATCTCCTCTTCATTTACCGAACACGTGCAACGGCTCTACTTGCCTGTTCCAGATTTAGGGTTTTAAGGTTTAAGGTTTAGGGCTCAGGGTTTGGGAGTTCATGGTTGCAGAACGCAAGCGGGCAATCATTGCAAGAAGATAAACAGTCCACCAGCCTCCAAGACTCGCAGAGTGCAAGTGCCTCATCGCAACACTTAGGGTTTATAACAGCAGGATCCAGAGCAGATGCTGTCAAGCCTTCAGGTTTACGGTTTAGGGCTTACAGTTTAGGACATAGGTTTTAGGATTTAGCATTTACAGTTCAGGATTTAGGGTTCAGGGTTTAGGGTTTAGGGTTTTCCAGTACAACCAAGGTGGCAGAGTGGTTTGCATTTACGGCTTACGGTTTACGGCCTAGGGTTTAGGGTTTTAGGGTTCAGGGTTCAAGGTTCCAGGTTTAAGGTTTAGGGTTTAGGGTTTTCCAGTGCCACCAAGGTGGCTGAATGGTTCGGGTTTATGGTTTACGATTTATAGTTTATGGCCTAGGGTTTACGGTTTAGGGTTCAGGGTTTAGGGCTTAGGGCTTAGGGTTTAGGGTTTAGGGTTTTCCAGTACCACCAGTACCACCAAGGTGGCTGAACGGTTTCTGATCTGTCCATTTTAGGGTTTAGGGTTTAGGGTGCAAATCATGTCCCGTGGCTATGAACTACCTGCAATGATGACCTCAGGAACTCTTCTCGACCAAAATGCAAAAAGCACTTGCTTGTATTCTCTGCTTTCACTTTAGACGGCAGTCTGGCAGAGATGTGCTGCACGCTGCAGCTGGACACGGGTGCCATGCCAACTTGAATTCCTCAAAGATTGAAAGTGGTTTGGACCCATGGGGGATGGCAGAAGAATGGGATCGCAGAGGGCCAGTCCAGACAAGCTACATGTGATAATTGGTTGTGCGCCACCTGGCATGGACCTGGTCACCTTTCTCGAGTGTTATTCAACAACAATTATGTCAGACTTCACATGCCAGATCCTCAGCTAAGCCTCATTGAATGATGGTCCTAGAAGTAGTGCGAGTTGCGATCATTGTTGCTCAACTCAGCATGAACCTGGCCCTCATTTGCGTCTCATTCAATGGTGTTGTTAGCATGAAACCTGATCTGCACTTGGACATGAGCAGTTGCCCACAGTGCAGTCCGACCGTACTCACGGGTGTTCTGCCAAATGCCAAATACAGATAGGCGCGAAGCGGTGAAAGTCGCCAGCTCAACTGGTGGAATGCATTCAAAACCGGTTCACTGGAGTAAGATAGAGGAAAGTGGAATTTCTAGTGTAGAGAGAAAATTCATAGATATTAGAAGGAACACCAAAAGCGAACGCAGCTTTCTGGGTCTCTACTGACGCTGAGGTGCGAAAGCATGGGGAGCAAACAATTCAAAATTTGAAAATCGTTGGAACTGGGCATAGGACAGGCATTCAAAGGGGGAGGGGAGGGGGAGGGGGGAGAGCAGGTCCATGGCCGAGGCGCGAGGGATCCATGATAATCCCATAGTCAACATGGCCTGCTCACGACGAGCCATGAACATGACTAGACGGCACGGTGTTTTAAGTGTTATGTCTCTCCGGCCAGTAGGTATGAATCCAACTCTAAAAATGGGCATGTTCATGCTAACTTAGACGTCTGACCAGTCAGGCCTGATCTGAGCACATTCTTGTAAGTATTATTTCCCATGGTGCTGATTTCTGCCGAGGTAAGCTAACCCATAACTCTTCAGCTGGTAAAAAAAAAGTCCAATCTCATGCTAGTTCTCAGTCCTCTGACAAAAAAAACATAGCATACCATTCTTTGTCAGGCCCGACTGACACACTACCCTCGGTCACGTATGAGTACGACCTCCAACACATGCAATAAAGCAATCATTTCAGACAGAGAGGAGGAGGAAGGAATGGTAGGGGGTCAGTGGATACGAGAAGAAAGGTACGCTAGCTGCCCCACGTTTTTTTTTTGTTTTTTTTTTCAAGAAATAACAAGGCCACGCGAATCTTATTATCTGTTAATGATTGGAATCGTTGCAATTTCAACGGATGCCGCAAAGGACATGCTACCCCATGCAGGTAAAACTTAAAGAGAGTCATTTCATACCGATGCGAGAAATGAGCCCTCGCTAGGCCCTTCTCGGGCCTGGAAATGTTCTGGGCTGCACCCCCCAGCAAGCCTCGTGCCCGTCCTAAGTGAAGGCAGGTCTGTACATCCACGTGAGGCCTATTTTCAACATTTTTCGTAAGTGGGGTATCAGACAGTTGTCGTACGCCAGTTGGTTACAGAGCAACGTGAGCCTCTCCTGGCACTTAGCTGCAACGAACAGTTGAGCCCAGGGCTCAGGTAGTTGCGCCCTGGGCACACACAGTGGGAGGCCGACTAGTCACGCAGAGGCAGTGGGCCAATGAGAATGCAGAATTGTCATCACACATGTACCGCGAGCCAATGAGAATGCGGCAACACTCGGAGCCAGGAGGGCAGCCTGGACGTGCCCAACTGCAAAGGGCCCAGGCCCGTAACAGCAAAGAGAGGCCTGGGCGCAGACACTGGGGCCCGACTGGACGTTACCAGAAAGCGGCCCAGCCAGGCCCACACAGCCAGAAACAGGTCCCCCCTTTCCATAAAGGAAAGTGCCCTGCCCAGGCAGCAGCATTCTAGCCTGAGCAGCCAATGCGGCCACGCTGCTGCTATGCCATGCAACACTGCGCTCAGCAGGCAGGCCAGGGCTCACGCGGGCGCAAGAGGTGAGAGGTCACTGCGGTGGCAGCGGGCGCACAGCAGCCATAGCCGGGCCAAGCGTGCGGCAACAGGTGATGTAATGTGTAATCCGAATACAAGACTCGAACACACAACCAACGGCTTGGCAGCAAACACCTAACCATAAGGCTAAGTGGGCTGGGGTGAAAGTGAAGCCCCAGGATGAGCACTTCACCCCACCCCAGCACGGAGATCCCGCGATACGGTGTACCCAACCACACTCACCCCTATGCAGCCACACTGCCCATAGTACAATCTCTACGGCAGTTACTGCGCAAAAGCACGTGTAATCCGGATACAAGACTCGAACACACAACCAACGGCTTGGCCATGGTGGTCTTCAGGTAGGAGGCGCAAGCAGAGAGGAGACAGGGTGTGATGAGGGGAGGAGAGAGAACATACCTGGTGTATGCTGGCTGTCGGCATTGGTGATGACGTCATGTGGATTGGTCTTCAACTTCGATGTGATCTGGCTGCAAGAACGTAAATAGGTGTAGGTAGACTGAGTACAGTATGCTGGGCGCTGGGCGCCATACAGTGGGAGCGACATTGGATACTGTGTTGGTGTGGCCAGAGAGCGTCGACATTGGCATACAAGTTCATTCTATTGCCCCTTGACTGGATACATTCCCTTGCGCTTGGAGAGAGAGAGAGAGAGAGAGAGAGAGAGAGAGAGAGAGAGAGAGAGAGAGAGAGAGAGAGAGAGAGAGAGAGAGAGAGAGNAGAGAGAGAGAGAGAGAGAGAGAGAGAGAGAGAGAGAAGGAATAGCACAACTTTGGATCCTGTAAGCGAGGAAGAGACGATGCATATACACAGTTGGTTACCTGCTGGTCCAGACCGACAGACGGCTCATCAAGTAACCAAAGAGGTCTTGGTATCGCCACCAAGCGAGCTAGCTGAAGCCTTTTCCTCTGTGAGATCAAATAAAACGGGAAAAAGACAAAGTGAGAAAATATCAGAGACCCTACAATGCAAAGAATGAACAGATGGACTATCAAAACCTAGAAACCATCCACTCAGGGCCCATAGGAATTTTCGTACACCACCAATGGCACCTGTCCTGTTGGTCTTCTTTACTTAAAAAACACCAACAACAATGGGGCAGTAACTACCATCTTCACCCGAATATAATGCCCGGTCATTATAGCTGTATTTGGCACAACTTTCAGCCCAGATACGACAATAATTACCGGGCGTTCTACTTGGGTGAAGACAGTAGCATTATAATACCATTATTGTATTTGTCGTATTCGACGAGGATTTGAACTCCTGATCTGTTTGCTGACAGTTTCGTGTGGTGTGTGTGCATGTGTGTGTGTGTGTGTGTTGTCATATTCGCTATTCAGTGTCCAGTGTTGCATACCCCGACCGTCGGCACCCCTTGACTGGAAAGCTGCCGACCAGCCGACCAGTAGGCTGGTCCGCATGTTATGAACTTGGTCATCTGACGATTTTCTCGCCGCTCACACACAGAGTGTCTGACACACGCCCATACACATACCAGACAAAGGGGAGAGGAGACAGAGTCCAAACTGCACGCAGACAAAGATAAGCAGCGGAATTTCAACCATGCACAGATGGGGAGAGACGAACAGTGATTCTCACTCTCTGACAGACTCCCAACAACCAGTCACAAGACAGCACCTGCGAGGATAACAATCGGAATCACACTGATGATGAGCCAACTCAAACCAATAATCGTTACAGAGTTTATCCCAGTATCTCGCCACCCTCAGAACACCACACCCTACTCTCTATCCTGCACCCAGTTAGTAGCGCAACACTGAATCCACCTCCCAGAGGCCAGCGCCAACCATCCAGATGAAGAACATGAATCGCGATGAAGTCTTCGGTGCTGATGAGTAAACTCTGACGAAGAAGATGGCAGCTATGGCTGCCACACCACTGACGAAGCCTTGACAATCTCTAAGGAGTGAAGGGTGACAGTGGTCCACCCACATATACTCAGTGACGAGCCTCAGAACAGCCCAGCCAATCGCAGATACCCTCAGGGGTAGATGCTCAGAGGGTGCCCCAGCTATGGCAAGCACCGGCAGGCTGGCTATGGCTGCCGTCCACGATGAGGGTCTCAGGATGCCGCCTGTAGACAATCACCACCACCCAACTTGCTTGGCTCCAGAACGCTGTATCGCGAAAATGAAATGCCAAAAGTCCCTAACCTACTGGCTCAGTCCTATTAATAGACTAGCCTACTTTAGACCTAGACCTACTGGACCGGTACCGCATCAGTTTGGCCTGTTCGTCCTGGGCCCTACCCGGCTATACGGCGCTTATTCCGTCTCTACAGCCCAGGGCCCGGATGGGCCGGCTGTCCCAGTGATAGCCCGGGTCTGCTAAGGGTGATAACGGCTAAGGGGAACTCGGGTCTGCAATTTTCCAGAAATTGCAGATATGTCCCTCACGAATTCCTCTGAAGACTAAACTGGCGGTTAGTCCCTGACACAAATAAAATTACGAATCTGACCCTAAGACACGACTGTACAACCTCGCAGTCAGATCTCGACAGTAGAAATCAGCAAGCCATTGCATGCACCCCACAAAAGACAAGAGAAAAATATTTTTTTTTTTTTTTTTTTTTTCTTCTATTGGGCGGGGAGTGTCCAGAACCCCAATAACCCCATCAATAACCCCATACCCACCCCCAATACCCCCATACCCCCCCCCAACACCCGCAAACCGCCCCCCAACACCCTCATACCCCCCGCAATACCCCGTATACCACCCCTATACCCCCCTATACCCCACCACCCATACACCCCCGCATACACCCCCCAACCCCAAAAGTTTCTCAGCGGATTTGGGCTGTACTCAGCACGCGCAGTACAGCCCTCAACTCACATTTGAAAAAAAATCAGTGAATACTACTGAATAGCAGGGTTGCATACCTGCCGACCGCCGACCCCGACCCCAACCAGCGGTTTTCCGACTGGTCTGCAGACTGCTGACCGGTCGGCTGTAAAACGGTCAGCAGTCGGGGTCGGGGTCTGCGGTCGGCGGTTGGCAGGTATGCAACCCTGCTATTCACTCAAAAAAGGCATGACTGTGCCAGACTGTTTCGTCGGACTTTCACCAACTCATCAGTAGGTTGAACCTGGACAGACAGTCTGCCCAGGATGCATTTGACTGATGGATAAGGAAGGACTCGACAAATCGCCCAGAGTTAGCAGCGATACCCTTGAGAGAGAAAAGTGCTGGACTTCACGCACACCAACCCTGCAATCCTGCCATACTGTCGGTCCAAACCCCTGACAAGAACCGCAGTAAGTCTGAGAAACTATTCTGACACAGTCATAAAACCTACCCACTCTACACACCCACTCAGCCATGGACGCCCAAGAGGCATGACTCCTAGTGTGGTCCCAACGCTAGGAGCATTGATCATCCTGAACGCAGAGCTTAGCAAGGCCTGACATTGTGCGTCGTCGTATCTACTTTTGTGTGTGAGACTGTAAGGGTATTTACTATGTACCATTCACCCACACGGGCATGGGTATGATCGGGAATCTGGATGCCCCTAACCTGTACTGAGACCCTTGGCAAATCTGCAGGGTTCCTTCCTTCTTTTCTTTTTTCCTTTTTTCTTTTTTAATACATCGAACAGAACCTCAAGCTTCTGGCATCTGCAGGGATCCTTATGTTGAAATTATCCCCCCCACCAAAAAAAAGCATTACAAATTAAAACCAAAGAAGAAGAAGAAGCCAAAGCTGAAGCAGAAGCAGAAGCAGAAAAACTCTGAAAAAGGCACATAAGAAGCAGAAGCAGAAGCAGAAGCAGAAATAGACACAGAAGGAGCAGAAGCAGGAGCAGAAAAAGGCACAGAAGCAGAAAAAGACAGAAGAAGAAGCAGAAGAAGCAGAAGCAGAAGAAGAAGAAGAAGAAGAAGAAGAAGAAGAAGAAGAAGACAGGTAATTTCTTGCATACTGAGATGCCTTGCTCATTCTATGCGCCGTTAAGTCCAAGTGCCCCACCGGTGCTATGTCCAGTGCGCCGGAAGCAGGAACCCACCTGCAGAATTCCCCACTGATGCTATGTGCGCCAGAAGCACGAACCTGGCTGCAAAATTGGTAAGTTTCGTACTACCTTAGCACAGATATAGCACCACTGGCATGTGGACGGTCTTGGTTCGTTGAGCGCTTCTCTCACTCATGTGCATTGGCTCTTACTCGCAAGTTGTTAAGCGCGTCTATCATCAAATGCTCACCTTGCAAGTGCGCTGAACCTATGAAGTTCGTTGAACATGAATGATTAAAAATTTAATAAAAAATGAAATTGATTGAACATGGAAAAAAATTCCCATTCAAGCCTTTTCAAGGACTGACTCAAAATGAGGCCATGTTCATGCTGAGTTGAGCGCCACCTCAGTGACATGATTGCTGGTTCTTCCCCGATTCATAAACGAAAAGACAAACAATCACACACCGGAAATGGGAGAAATTGAAAAAAAAAGAAGATGAAAAAGAAAAACAAACAAAGGAAAAAAGAGGAGGGGGAAACAGAGAAGCACTTTCTCTCTCATAATAGTTTAAGAGGCAGGGTTGCATCCCTGCCAACCGCCAACCTCCGACCCAACCGCCGACTGTTTTGCAGCCAACCAGTAAGGCCGACCGGTCGGCTGTCTGCCAACAGTCACAAAACAGCCGTCCACTGATTTTTTTTCAAATCTGAGTTGGGTGCTGTACTGCACTTGCTGAGTACAGCCCAAATCCGCTGAGAAACATTTGCTGATGGGGGGGGGGGGGGGAAGGGGATGATAGGGGGGGTATAGGGTATAGGGGTTATTGGGTGGGCGGGGGTGGGGGGAGTATGAGGGCGTTGGGGGGCGGGTATGGGGGTGTTGAGGTATTGGGGGGCGGGTATGGGGGTGTTGATGGGGTTATTAGGGCTTCTGGACCCCCCCGAAAAAAGAAAATAATAAAATATTATATAATAATATAATTTATTATATTATATATCGTCAAATAGAACTGCCCGGTAAACCGTAGGCAGAGAGGGAGAAGAGGACAACAAACGAGGGAATGTGACAAACTGTTTCGTCGGAGTTTCATATATGTCGATAACACTGTCAAACACAGCTGCCCGGTAAACTGTAGGCAGAGAGGGAGAAGAGGACAACAAACGAGGGGCTGTGACGAACTGTTTCGTTGGAGTTTCACCGACTCACCAGGAGGCTGAACCCTACATATTTTATTTTATTTTATTCGCGGGGTGCCGACGACCCCTGACCGGTAGGTGCCAACCAGCCGACCGTCGGGGTATGCAACCCTGGTAAGAGGGGGGAAGGGGGGGGGATAAAAATTAAAATATATATTTTTTTGAATGAATTCCTTGTCAACTGTCCAGGAGGACCAGAACAAAATTGTTTTGACATTTGGAGAACTCATACTGCCTCTAGAATCTCCCCCGCCCCTCCTCCTCTCCCCTCTCCTCGTTTCCTCTTCTCCCCTCCCTACAGTTTTTATTGCTTGATTCCTCCGATAACACTAACTGGTTTGCTCAGTTCTATCCTCCTCTCCTCTCTTCTCTCCTCTCCTCTCCTTCAGTCTTCACTCAAGGCTACTGACTCCTTCCCTTATACAGGAAAAGAAGAAAGGACTGCCTCTAGACTTTCTGTCATTCTCTCCTTCCCTCCCTCCATACAGCTCAGGAGCGAGAGAATGCCAAAAGTCTATCCACACAGCTATGCATGCAGACAAAGACCTACAGTCTTCCCTCGAATAGAACACCCGGTCATTATAGCTGTATTTGGGGCAACTTTCAGTCTAAGTACAGCGATAATTGCTGAACATTTTATCAGGATAAAGACAGTAGCAATCCATATGTACACAGATAGATCTAACTATGTCAATTCACATAGACAGTCGGAACTAGCAATGTCAATGTGCATGGATG